GGACAATCCAGGCGAGGCGAATGACGAGCGAGTTTCAAGGTAGGGTTTAGGGTTTTAGGATTAAGGATATTAGGGCTTAGGGTCTTGGCTCAAAAGGGTTTATGTTGCTTTAGGGTTGAGTTTGGGGGTTTTCAACCAGTGCTTCTCTCCTCTGTATCGTGTGATGCGTTCTTGCCTACGCCTCGGCTGCGTAGAACTTAAAGGGTTCTGGGCGAGGCATCAAACGCCGGACTGAGGAAACTCACGGGCTTCACGGTTAAAAGAAACTACAGGTGGGGAGTTTAGGGTATATAGGGCTTCTATAAGGTTTTATAAGGTATACAGACCTTCTATAAGGCTCCTATAAGGGTAACTACGCACCTGAAAATGTCCTAGATAAGGAAACGACAGGCTTCTCCTGGCCTTTCCGGATGACGTGAAGGAACCAAGAAATCCTTACAACAGCTGGGGCCCCAGATGAAGCTGAGTTCAAGGACTCCTAATTTTAGAACGTCCCTGAACCCTAAACACCCCTAAACCCTAAACCCTTAAACCCTAAACCCTAAACCCTAAACCCTAAACCCTAAACCCTAAACCCCTATAAACTTCGCACAAAACTTTGAGTTGCGAAGACCCGGAAGCGAAGCTTGCAGCGAAGTTACTGGCGCCTGGACACCAAGCTCGGACTCGAAGGCCTCTCTCTCCGGAAAATAAGGGCAGGGAGTTTAGGGTTTAGGGTTTAGGGTTTAGAGTTTAGGGTTTAGGGTTTAGGGTTTAGGGTTTAGGGGTTTAGGGGTTTAGGGTTTAGGGGTTTAGGGTTTAGGGTGTAAGGGCTTCGGGTTTGGGGCTGATTTTTGTTCTATTCACTCGCTTTCCGTATCCTTAGACTCGACAAACTGACAGCTACAGACAGGTATCGGTATATGTTTATGATCTGCACATAAGATGTGTGCATGTCTGCTCATGTACTCTTGCCATCTCCCCTCTATTCTCAAGAGATGAGATATAGCCCTTTTTGCACAGGCTTGCGTTAATCCCGCGTCGCACCCGTTCTCTGAACAAGGCCAAACAGATATAGCCCTAAACGCCAAACCCTAAACCCAAAACCCTAAGCCCCAAACCGGGGAACCCGGGGAACCCGTAATCCGGCCTTGAGGGCCGTCACGGAGAAGTTGCCCTTGGCAACCTTGCGCCCGCTGGCGTAGAAAGCGCCGGCCGAGGCGACGATGGAGGCCGCCGCGAAGTGCGTGGCAGAGGACGGGGAACTCGAGGCCTGCGAGAGATGGAGGCTGTAAGGGAGAGCCTACACAAGAACCCTTGGAAGAGCAAGTGAACGCCATCTGTGTAGTTCTCTAAATTAGGGCCCCTTTTAGGGTCCTTTTTACAAGGGTGCCGTACTACATTGGGGACCTAAAAAGGGACCCTAATTTAGAGAACTACCCATCTATTAAGCCTATTAGGCTATGTCTTGCATTCCTTGGAAAGCGATCGTTCCTGCACCAGGGTTGAGGCCGCTTGAGATACCGTCTGCTAGATGCCTTACCAAGAAACAGGAAATCAGGCAAAGGAAGCATATAATTCCAGGTACTGCAAGGGGTATTGTAGTACTATAATGGACGCTAAGGGTTCTGATCTGTTCTGTTGTTGGTTTAAGGGGTTTTCGCGGGGTCTTCAGGGCTTGAAAGCATTTCTTTGTCTTGATCAGGACCCCAAATTAACAGAGGAGTTCGACTTCCTGCACCCTTCACGTTCAACCATGCATCCAGACCTGTGAATGCTAGACCGTAACCCCAGAAAAGATGCCTAAAATCTACACCAACATAATAGTAAACAAACCACAACACACCGTAAAAAGCCGGCGTCGATCCTGACCCTAAACCCTTCAAAAGCCTACGGGAATCCTACTAATGCTTTCGACATGTCTGTAGTCGTCAACATGTAGGACGCGAAAGAAACAATGTATGTATGTATGTATGTATGTATATATATATATATCATTGTATGCACGCATGTATGCATGTATGTATGTGCGTGTATGTACGCATGGACACAAATCCCTCAAAATAAGCGAAACGAGAAACTGAAATCGTACGTACATACATGCATACATACATACATACATACGTACATACATACATACATACATACAAACAACCTGAACCCTAAACCTTAAACCCTAAACCCTAAATCCTAAGTATCGAGGTTCTGAATTGGCTCAAGGCCTGCTGCGCCGTGGCCGTGGCTCTAAGCGCCGGGGTCTTGACCTGGCCTCCTGGCTTTCATGGCTCTAACAGGGTTCAGGATTTAGGGTCTAGGGCTTAGGGTTTAGGGGTTTAGGGTTTAGGGTTTAGGGGTTTAGGGTTTAGGGGTTTTGGGGTTTAGGGGGTTTTGGTAAGGGTTTTGTTCAGGCTGAGGCCTTTGCTTGGGTTTTAGTAGGCTTGTAGTATGGCTTGGGGTTTTCAGGGCTCTGAGACGTAGGAATGAGACCTAGGAAGACAGGGTACCTACTGTACTCTTTATGAGGAGCCGGGCTTGGTTGTACATTGGATTCGGGAAAAAACTGCGTAACATGTTAAGCTAAAACCCCCACGCCCCTTTCATGTAAGAGATTAGGGCCCACAGCTGCCAGAGAGTAGCGTTGTATATCCGACTCAAACAGTCTAGTCTAGGGTACCGTGTCGGTCAGCATCCGTCCTGTGCCAGCAAGGAAGGCGCTCCCGGCAGCCACACCTGGAGAAGGCTGGCATTACAAAGAGTTTACGGTCGCACTAAGGGGTCTTAGGGTTTAGGGTTTAGGGTTTAGGGTTTAGGGTTTAGGCCTGGAGAAGGCTGGCATTACAAAGAGTTTTTGGGTCATCTGGCCAGCGCGTTCGGCACGACACGCCTGCTAAGTACATCTGAAGAAGTTCTTCGAAGAGAAGCTGCAGAGTGCTGTAGTATACTTGGAGGATCATGGGACTTAGTAAGTAATTGGGGTTATACGTCCCTTAATTGGGGTTATAAGTAAATATAAGTATAGTTACCTTAACTATATCCCTACTTACTAAGTCCCATGATCCTGTAAGTAGTCGCAACCACCACTTGGCAAGGCTCAGCCAGACAACAAGAACAGCAGAGGAAGGCTTGGAAAGGAGACCTTCAGAGCTTTAGAACTCGGTTTCTGGCATCCCAGCCATGGGAACCGTTCCCAAAATGTCAGACAAAACGAAGCTGGGTCAAGAGTGCATCAGATAGCACCTACGCCTTTGGGAATTAAACAAAGAGCCTGCCATCCAAATGCAAGGCGCGTCTCCTCTAACTATCGCAAAACAGTGTAAACGTCCACCCATGTGGGGGTTTCTGAAAATAGGGGACCCTAATATAGTACCCCGAATAGCAGGATCCTTATTATTAGGACCCCAAAATAGGGTACCCTTATTTTCGGAAACTCGCATGTCTTCTCCTACATCCTCCCCCTTTGTTTGGCACCTGCCAGGCCGACTGCCGTACCCACAGCTGCACCGCATCTCTTGGAAGCCATCCTTCAACAAAAACGCTTTTCCAAGAGGGTGGTCCTATAAGGAGCTTTCACCCTAACTTAGAATCCTTGTCGCTGTAGACTTCTGAGGAGTGTCGAAGCAAAGGGGTCGAAGACAGGATTCGTGCACAACGGGTGTTTGGACAATAGGACTTGCTTGATTTTGTGATCACACCCACGTACGTCGGTGGAAACGCAGGGTTTAGGGCATAGAGCCTGTCTGCAAAGGCCCGTCTATGAAGGGTGTTCGCCTTGCCGACCGTCTGGTACATGGAGCTTCAGCAACAAGAGACCCTGACATCGAACCCTGAAGAATAGTACCCTCAACACCAGAACAGATCAACAGGCATGCCCGAGCTGTCATGCAAAGGGACAAGAGGCTCCGGCAATCCCAGATGCCACCCCCTCCCCCCCCCCGCCGTCCCCAAAAAAAAATCTCACAAGCTGACTGACCTGCGAGGTGGCGGAAAACCTGAAGAAACGGCTGCCAAAGGGATCCTAAAGATCCGACTTCACAACTCTTTGGCGGTGCTTTGAGCCGAGACTCCCATGGATGTGTCGGTGTTGCATTCAAGGTCTTTGAGGGTTTAGGGTTTAGGATTTAGGGTTTAGGGTTAGGGGTTTAGGGTTTAGGTTTTTTGATGTTTTGGGGTTTTGGGTTTAGGGTTATTGGAGAGGTTGTTGTTTTGCTCAGAGGGTCAAATCGGGGGGGTGCACGGGCCATTCACAGGTTCGGACTCGGGTGTTTTTGACACTCACACTCGGACACGGCCCGGCAAGGTCTGTAGCAATACTGGTCCATCGATGATTTGGGTTTAGGGTTTAGGGTTTAGGGTTTAGGGTTTAGGGTTTAGGGTTTAGGGCTTAAGGTCTCGGGTTAAGGGGCCCATTCTACTATAATTATATCAAGGAACACCCAAGACCCTATTCTCTAATTATTAAGGCCCCTACATTAGCCTTGTTTCCATCAAAACCCCCAGCCACTGGTTGGGTTTCATAAGGCTCGGGCTTCCGGCTCTTAGGTTTTAGGGTTTAGGGGTTTTGGGTTTAGGGTTTGGGGTTTTTTTTTGACACCTTTTTCCGACTGCACGTTCGAGTCAGAGAGCCCACATGGGGCAGGCAGAACCATATCCTTTCGCTCCACACTGTCTCGCATGGATCTTCCGTCGCTCGCACAACGACACATCGACTCCACTTCACGGTCCCACGTCCACCGATCCCTCTTGCTCACTGTGCCGACCACGTTTGACCCCTTGCCGAATCACACCATCCGACTCCTGACCCAGTGTCTGCTGGACGACCAACTCACCGGTGCCGGGGTCAACCAAGACATTCGCTGCCAAGTTGGCCATCTGTGTGTCCATGACAGTGTCGACATTCTCGCCCGCACCCGTGGCAACTTCTCCAACAGCACTGAGGCTGCCCGGCCCACCAGCAGCCTGAGACAAGGCCGTTCCATGTTCATCACCTCGCTCTGCCACAGACAGCAGCCCCGCACCCAACTCTTCACCACCAACAGGTAACGGCAGGTCCGCGGCTGTAGGCTTGGAACTGGGCGAGGCCACCAACACAGTCTCCACGTCCTCTGGGTCCGGCTCCATGACCTCTTCCACAGTAAAGGACACACGAACTGGCTCTTGACCGGGTTTGGCCAGCGGAAACCGCCAGGTCCGGCTCGTGCCCGCCTGGTTCTGGAGGTGACTGGTTGCCACAGTCATGTATAGCTGCGGTCTCACCCGGGCCTGAGGCCTGCCCTTGGACATTTCATCAAACATGGCCCAGTCATCCCACTCCTGCGCTTGCCTGCTTGCATGTTGGTCCCAGGCTCGGCGGTCTTGCTCCAACGCCCTGTCCAGTTCCGCCTCATGGTGGAGCTGCATCTCCAGCATTGCACGCTCGTCCCTGTCATCAGCCTCCCGCTCCTCTGCCTCCATTCGTAGTAGCCTGTCCACTGCTTCAGCCTGGCTCAGCTCTGTGGTGCCACTCTCCACGAACTCCACCTCGCCAGACCCGGCCGCCCGCGACAGCCCTTGAGTGTATCCGTAGGAGCTGATCCCACCATCGTGAAGCCCATTGCTCCAAGGCCGGCGTCTGCGCAGCCACACCACAAGCCGCCTCATTCTCCCCGGCCTGGGTCACGACCTCCAGAAGCGCCTCAACCGCGTCCAAGAGGTCGTCCGCTCGCCACATGGGCCCACGATAGGCACGCAACCGGCGCCTCAAGGTCTCAGCCTGCGCCCTTGCCACTCCAGGGATTCATGTAGGTCGGCCTGGATGCGAAGAGGAAGATCAGAGTCACGGCCCGGTCGTTGCATAAGCGAGGTCACATCCTGCGCCATCGAGAGGTACTGGAGGAGCCCGGATTCGTCTCCTGCCGCCTCCCCTTCGGTCCCATCCGAGTTGCGACGGACGTCATTCGGCCCAGACTCCACCGGGTCGTCTTCATCCAGCGACACTTCAACCATCGACGCCAAGTGGGACAGTTCGCCCACCTCCGACATGAGGGAGCGAACCACAGTGACGAACGCCACAGTCATCATTTGCTGCTGGTTGACGCTATAGCCCCGGAGGATGTCGATCATCCAACTCCTCCTATCATCAGGGAGGATGGGCGCGCCTTGTGCCGTGGTCCTGGCCAGGGCCAGGTGGCCAAAAACAACTAATTTGATGAGGTCTGGCCAGGGCCAGGTGGCCAAAAACAACTAATGATATTAAAGTTTAAATAT